CCATTTTTTCCTATTTTTGGGGATTTTCCCCCCCCCCCCCCCCCCCCCCGCGTTCAGTTTAAATGGGAGACCCATGAAAAATAAATACTTTTTGCAGTGGCGGACAGCCAGTGGATGTTATCCGAAATGACACTGACCACTCCATTGAAGCGAGGAATAGTATGGGCATTGGTAGACGGTTTATGATATAATAGATTGTTGAACTTCTGGAGGTTATTGACTAAATGAGGTTCAGCTAATTGTAGCTCCTTTGAGCAAGGAATCTGTGTGGCGTAAAGGGTAGCAGACGGAAATTTCGACTTGGCAAGTTTGAGGAGTTTCAGCATTCTTCTGTGTATGGATTCTCCTGATTCCTGTTTATTATTTAGGCCAACATGAAATGACACCTTTTTCGGAATGGTTTTTGGAGAGATCTTGGAGAGTAATGTATTGATATGCTGAATTCGGGCACCAGGGTAAGATTTGGCTTGGGTATCTGGATGTAGGAACGGGATGTTGCTGATGTTGGAAGATCCAATGATAACTAATGGTTTGGTGAGTGTGGGAATAGACCATTTGGATTTATCCTTCTCATTATTATGACGTCGTGGTTTACAGGCTGGAGTTGAGGGTGAGGTGGTTAAACTTCAGCGACGGCGAGTATTGGTACGTTGAGGTTTCGGTGTTTCAGGGTTCGATCTTGGCGTCGGCATTGGTGTGGATGGAGTTGCAGTAAAAGTTGGTAATGGTAAAGTACGTCTATCAGTGTGAGGTTTCTTGCTTATGGATAGTGGTTCTTGCGAGGTACTAAGGCCAGAAGGTGATGGAGTTCTTATTAAGTCAATTGCTGACAAGAACAGATTGTAAAATACTGTATGTAGTAATTCATACCAGTTAATATTGGGTATAACTGACAAAGAGTTTTATTACAGACAGTGATAGATAATGCAGATTTTGATAGTGATGATGATGAAGATGCTGATTTTACCTTAGGAGAGGAAGATGGTAGGTTTATATCCTGTTACTTTACAAATGGGAACCTTACTTGACAAATACAAATGTTTTAAGATTATTTGACTTTTGGCACAAGAAATAGTGTTGATAATCCTTTCGCAACTTCACATTTTAATGTTGCACGGTCATTAACAAATACTTCCATTGTAGATATGTATGGTGACTCTGATGGTGATAATGACTCTGAAGAGGATGATGGCTCAGATGATGATGATGACAGTGACTCAGATGATGATGACTCAGATAACGATGACTCAGATAATGATGACTCAGATAATGATGATGACTCTGAAGATGATGATGAGGATTCAGAGGAGGAAGATGAAGAAGAAGAAAAAGTGATGCATGTTAAGAATACTCCGAAAAATTCAAAAACTGACCAAAAGACACCTAACAAACACACAGAAAATAAATCTCCAAAAAATAAGGCAAGGTTGCTTACATTTATCAAAATATTTCTTCAAGGGTATGATTAGTCTATTGTTAATATTTATATAAAAAAATCAAGCCTCAGCAAGTTGCTCTTCATAGTTCGGGCAAGAATCTGCCCTGATGCATTTTGTCATATGTAAAAGAAACAACAGTATCACAAGAGTGTAGCATACCTAAGGTCACGTATTTTAACACTATATAATTGTTTACGTATAGACACCTAAAGTAAATGGTACACCAGTAGAAACAGAGACCAGTAAAAAGAAAAAGAAGAAAAATAAAGAAGAAATGAATAATAGTGCTCTAAATACACCAAAATCTGAAAAGGTTTGTTTCATTTACTGTAGTATAAATACATAGTCAAGGATTCAGAATGTAAGAGAGAAAAAAAATGCCCATGGAACATTACTTGTTAATATGTGAAAATACAATGATCCGTTATAAAAGTTAAATCAAATCAATTATCTAAACAGATTTTGTGTATCTCCATTAATCACTGAATTTGTTGATTGCAGAGCTAATAACAATTGTTTTAGTACTGCTTTTGTTTAAGATCTTCTATCAAATTCTATTAGCTTCAACAGATAGAGGCTGAGGTGTAGTTTTGAACAAGAGTTCTTTTGATTGACAATAAACATATTATTATTTCTACCTGACAGAAAAATAAAGAAGAAACACCAAGTAAGACACCTAATAAAAAACAAGTCTTAGCTGATGGTTTAGTTATTGAAGATGTCAAAGTTGGTAATGGTCCTCCAGCCAAACCTGATAAGATGGTAAAACTACACTTCTACATTGTGATTCTTCAATTGTGTCATGAAGCTTGTTTTTTTTTTTACAGAGATAGGGATTTTGAGAACCGATTTGAATGATCACAATCAGAAACTGTGAAGAGCTTGTCATCTTGCTATTTCAGGCTCACATGTATTATGTTGGTAAACTGTCGAGTGGTAAACAATTTGATTCCTGTACTGGTGGTAAACCATTTAAATTTAGATTGGGTAAACAAGAAGTCATAAAAGGATGGGATTTAGGTGTAAAAGGTTAGTTTCCTTAAAAGATTTAACTTGTCAATGGCTTGTTAATAATATGGAGACTAAACTGGGGTTATAGTTGTCAATGCATACTTATGGTTAGGTTTCCCAAAACCCCTACATAAAGCACAGATGTCTTTATATGTCCATTTTATAATGTGGTCGTTGCCCCTGTCGGTTCGCTCGAGATGAGATCTTGGACAAGTTTGAAATTGACAATATTCACTGATTGCTTTTTGAGTTACTGCCCCTGACTTAGTAAAAACGTGTCAAAATTTGTTTGTGAACACAATCAGTTTTTGGTACAATTTGACATAGATTTATATTAATATACTCAAAATTTAACAGGGAAGTGGGCATATCATGCAACCACTTGATACATGATGATGTAATGAAATTATACTTCTACAAACTGTATAGCATCGTATACATGACTTGTCAGAGAAGTTGTTAATTTTGTTTTTGTATCTAGGAATGAAAGTTGGTGGTAAAAGAAGATTAATAGTGCCTCCTAAACTCGGGTAAGTTTCACCAGGTGAAGTTTCCTTTGTTGTTTTCGTCTATATGGACGATATGAAAAAAAATATCCAATCAATGATGTGTATAAAAAAATATGTGACTACTATAACAGATTCACTGACAGGTGGAAATCAAATAGAGTAGACAAGATGCATTATTCCATTTGAGAGAGGTTACACACTCCAAAAATAGGCAGGTAGTTGGAGTATGATATAGTGTATCTTATTTACTCTATACAGTTATGTTATATTAATCTATCTGTTTTTTATTTCAGTTATGGTAATCATAAACAAGGTCCAATACCAGCTAATAGTACACTAGTCTTTGATGTAGAATTAAAGGCAGTCAGCTGAAACCTCACATTTCAGCCCTATTTTAATAATATGTATATAAATCACCAATTCTTTTACACCTCAATAAAATTCCATACAATTTCTCTAACTTTCATTCTTTAAAGAAAATGTTGAATTTTCAGTTCTGTAGTCTGAGTACATTTACTAGACATTACTACAGTATACAGGCCTCGGCTTACATTGTATCTGAGTAGAATTTTTTGCAGCATTTTGTACCAGATACTACCGAGATCATGCCTGATATTACTTTGGTATATCGGGACATCGTTTTCACGCTAAATACGTTTGCGGGACACATACAGATCCCAGTTGAAAATCACCATCTAAAAACCTTGTGGGGAAAATAAATTTCATGATTATCAACGTTCAATGCATATTAGCTTTCCTTGAACCTCTGTTACTATGCTTATGATAAACCAGGGGGTTGTCAGTGGAGTATAAAGAATTTCGACAATGTTCAGTTTTAAAGTATTGTCCTAGTGTTCGCCAAAACTCATAGGCGTGATAAAGGATGTAGTTTTCAAACAATGTGCGAAATATGAGATCAGTTACCAAAGTTTTTGATTAACGAATTCGGCATAGATGGAACAGGTTTAAGAACATAATAGAGGCTCGATTTTTAACCGAGCTTGATATAAACTTTGTGTACTTGTTGATCTACTACAATAGAGGTTGTTTTTTTACGCAACGATTACGTTAACCGAACGCTTACGTTAACAACAATATTATTAATTGCTATTATGGGCTTTTATCGACTTGTCTTAGCAAGCTTTTTTTGCACAATACGCAGTTGCTATAATAATATTGAAGAAAAAAACACCAAAGAGGTAATATCTTTTAAGTTTCAGTAACTTATTAATTACGTTACATTACTGTATAATGATTATTGGATATCTTTGAATAAAAAGGTAGAGTTTTGTTGAATAACAGCCTCACAGGTGTTGTCTGATTTAACTTTCAGAGATTAAATAGATTGTAGATAATCTTGGAGCCATAATTTAATTCTAAAAAGTTGACATCAGCTGGATAAGCAAATATCCCCCGATACTCAAATCTCGGTAAGCAGGAAGTTACTAAGACTTCTATTTAAAGAGAAACTCCTTTTAATGTCTTGTGATAGGTCGTTGTGTTTGAATGCACCTAATAAAGTATGTAATATATATAGTCAAATAAACAGTCACAAGTTAAAGTAGAGTCGTTTATGCACTCAACACAATGCCTATTTCAGTATTCTAACAGTACAGGTGTGGGAAGAACTTGAAATCATATTGTTGAATTATTATTGATATAAGGTAAATCATATACGTATACATCATTAAATATGATCCGAAATCATCTTTAACATGTTACTGATAGATAATTTTACTAGTTACCGTTCATCTAAATAAGGCTGGGCAATGGTCAGCTTTTTTCGAAATATTTACTTGTAGGGCCGTTTTTACGTCGTGTAAGCAGCAAATGGGGCAAATGACTCATGGCAAACTTGACAAAAAATATATAAATAAAAACAAGAAATTTAAAATATGATTATACACATGATGTCTAGAGAAAAGGTAATTACTGTTTGAAGTTTCCAGGACCATTCTCCCGACCGCTAGATTTTTGCCACATTATTAAAAAGGATTACAGGCTGTGTCTAGCATCAATCTAATTACAATGTAGACTAAAATATCAGAAAACGAAAAATGTAAAAAAAAAAGAAAATTGTAATCTGATTTTGATTAGATTGGTCTCGCTGATTCTGATTAACACAGACATTTTTGATGAAAGCTTAATATTACAATTTCAGCCACCAATAACATTTTTCGGAATGAAATCCCAATCTATCTGAACAACCTGTGTTTAAAATGTTTTCTTAAGTTCGGACTACATATCGAATACACAAAAGCTTCATATCTTGATTTAGTAGGTTATATCATGCAAAGGACTAGGAAGAAACGCAATGGCTTTGAGCTAGATATAAAGCTTTTTGTTAGTTATTTTGGGAGTGAAGGTAAATGAGTATTTTGACACAACGTAGTTAACCTTATCCATCTATGGTTGTAAGGTAATTTCATGAAATTGGTTGTATTTTTTAACATTTGTGGCAAAGCCACTAATTACTGCGCAAATTTACATTTTCAGTTACTTCACGACATCGTAACCAAACATGCACCGAATAGATAAAGATCTGTTTATAGCCGCGAAACACGGTAGGACAGACGAGGTTGAACATCTTTTGGATTATGGCGCAGACGTAAACAACGTTCAGAAAGATAACGAAACCCCTCTTTTAGCCGCTGTCAAGAACCGACATGAAGAAACCTCTACTGTGTTGATTGATCATGGAGCCAATGTAAATTCGGCTGATCAAATAAATTCTACTCCGTTAATGTATAGCATCAGCTATGCGCTAACTGAAGTTTTTAAGAAACTTCTGGAGCAAAAGTGTGATTTAGATATTCCTAACCATGATGGTAAAACTTCTCTGCATTTAGCTGCTTTGCAAGGAAAGTCCACACATGCTAAACTTCTAATCGAGAGTGGTGCTGCCATTAACATAAAAGACGATTTAGGAAGGGTACCACTGTGTTATATATCTAAATCAGACAACCCGAACCAAATTGAAGTAGCATCCAAGTTGATAAAATGTGGAGCGATAGTGGATTTTAGTGACAATGAGGGCATGACGCCTTTGATGTTTGCTATCATCGACGAAAGCCCTTCCATAGTACAACTACTTCTGGAAAGCGGATGTGACGTGAAATTAAGGAACAATCAAGGAAAGACGCCTCTTCATTTGGCTGTTGAAAGTAAAAATGGAAATACTATTGACCTTCTATTGAAGCATGGTGTCCCGATTGACGATCAAGACAACGACAAATCCACGCCTCTCATCCGGGCAATCATGCACAAAAACGCGAAAGGGGCACTGACCCTCATCAATCGAGGAGCAGATATTAATTCAGTGGATTTTTTTGGATGGGGCGTTTTAATGCATGCTCTGAGCAATGACATGACTGATATAGCGGAAACCCTGATTCAGAAAGGTTGCGATGTCAATGCTCAAGCAACGAAGATGAAAACGGGTTTACACATTGTTTGCCAGAATCATCTCATTGATTCAATTCACCTTTTACTAGATTACGGAACTAATGTTAATATTCAAGATGGCGACGGAGACACTCCTTTGAACTTATACCTAGCCAGTATACCAAGGGACAAAACTCCGAATATGGAAATAATTAAGATGTTTCTGAAAAATGAATGTGATTGGACAATCGAAAATAAGCAAAAACAATCTGCAATTCATTTTGCGCTTCGGTTGGGTAAAGATGGTCTTGAAATTGTAAAACTGGCGAAACAAACAGGATTTTGTTCACCGGCTCTACTGTTATCTGTGGCACAAGACCCTAGAATGGTGAAAGTGTTTGAAAAATATCCTGAAACAAAAAGATTTGTTGAAGAGAACTCTGGTGGTACACTGTAATAGAAATGCTATATATATATATTGAATCGACTTTGAAAATCAAAGGAAACTCACACGGAAAGTGTTTTCCGTAGATTTCAATAATCTGGTAGAAGTGGAAAAAAAGGAGTGTTAGGTCCATTTCTTTTTCGCCAAGTTTTGGTGTTTGGCTTTATAATGGCTTGGTATTATTAGTTGAAACCTACGTAGGAGACGGGGGGGAAGGGAAAAGGGGGGAAGGGAAACTAACTCAGATGATATCAAAACTATCTTTATCAGTTCATAAACTTTAATAAAAACCCTGTAATGATAATATTAAACAATTAGATATATATACAACACAAATATACAATACTATATCTTACAATTATCACAGTAAAGCTTAATATAAATCTATGCACATAAAATATCTATTTACACTTACACTATTACTATGTTAACTAATATATGCCATGGAGGGAAAACTTATGAAATGGACTAATGAAATATATAATATAATGTAAAATAAAACTAACCCTTAAGATGGGGTTTTAAGTTGATATTGACATTTACAGTATATAACTAAACTAAACTCAGTACCAAAACCTTTGAACTAATTATAATTAAAGATAATTATAATACAAATAGTTATAGATAATATAAGTTTAATATTGAAAAAGAAGGTTTATAATTCCACAAAGCATATAAATTAAAGATGGCTGCCATTACTAACATTTAAACTACCATGGTTACAATTGCACATCTCTCATACAAAATATAGTTTCCCAGAAAGACAATTACTCTAGAAAACACACATACCTGTGAAGTTATTTAAAGAAAATAACTAAATGGTGAAACAGGATAAAGTTGAAAGTAAGAAATATTTCATAAAAGGTTGAAACACACTTCCTTCAACTTCAAGGACTTAGATAAAAGTAAAGTTTCTGACTGGATAGGTGATGAAACTCACTGAAAGCTCACTAAGCTGGCCAATCCAAAAGGTGGCAAGGTCAGGTGAGATCAGTTAAGTTAAGAAACTAAGAGAGGGCAATAATTAAGACTTTAGTATTAGGCCAGTGTAAGGTAATTATGTGCTCATTAAAACAGTAATGGTGCATTAAGATAAAACAACAATTAAATAAAACAACCAGATTTTTATAAAAATGCACCCTGCCACAGAAGTACTTCAGACTACACATAAGCTATTGTCACATCCCCCTTTCCTAAATGAACAAAAGATTAAATCATAGTCCAATGATACATTAATACAATCAAGGTATCTGTAACTAAGGAAATTATAAAATGCTTCTTTGCATGAATAAAAGGTTTGTCTATAGATATTCGAGGTTTGGAAACTAGTCATTGTTGTATCGCGGATTTCGTTTGGATATACGTCCACTACGCGTGATTACTGGTTGCTGAGGATGTGGTACATTATCTACCCGTTGTTGAACAGCTTGTTGAACAGCTACATTGTTATCATTTACTGGTTCTTGGTGTTGTTCAACTGGAGGGATAAACCCTTCACCCCTCCAAAATTAAATGAAGCTCCAAAATCTTCATCAGGATTATAATTATTTGTAGGCTGAGGTTCATTGACATGCAAAAGATGACGTCGGTTTCGCCTGAGTTGATTACCGTCATAATCAACATAATACGATCTAGGATCAGCTGTTGGCGATATTACTGTCCCAAGTTTCTGGTAACCTTTCTCTGTTTGTAATCTAACCCTATTTCCAGTATGGTGGCAGTGTCCTTGTATTCTTGCCATATGCAGATTTCTGTTGTGATCTTAATTGACTTAGACGATTTTGGACAGCACTTCTGTTGATATTGTCTTGACGAAGTAGATTAGATAACATAGGCATGTTGAATTTGGTTTGTCGACCCATTAGACGCTTGGCAAGTGATTTAAGAATATCATCACGATATGTATTTCTAAAGTTCAATAATGCGATATACGGATCACTTCCATCATGCTTACACTTGTCCAAAATGTTTTTACGTTTTTACAGCACGTTCGGCTAAACCATTGCTTTGGGGATAGCCAGGACTGGATGTTTTGTGAATGAAATTCCAAACTGTGGTGAAATTCCTAAATTCTCTACAAAAGAATTGAGGTCCATTGTCACTATAGAGTTACTATCAGGTACACCAAATCTTGCAAAATGAGATTTAAGCTTGTCAATTACGGCTCGGGAGGTAGTATGTTGAAGATAGGTAAGTTCAATCCATCCTGAATATGAATCGACTAGAACTAAGTAATTCTTTCCATTCCATGTGAGTAAATCTGATGCCAAAACATTCCATGGACGATCTGGAATCGGTTGTGTGTTAAGGGGCTCTTTGTGTTGATGTGCTTTAAAATGATTACAAGTTGCGCATCTGGATACAAAGTTTTCAATATCCCGATTCATTGAATCCCAATAAAATAGATCACGTGCTCTAAGTTTAGAGGCTTCTATCCCAATGTGTCCTTTATGTATTTGTGCTGTTTAATCAGGCTGCAGTGTTTTCGGAACTATAACTTTTTCACCTTTGTATAAAATGTCATCATACATGTATTGTTAGCAGGTCTCGAAAGGAGTAAAATTTGCGAATATTGGGTGCACATCTTTTTCGTAAGGTGGCCATCCGTACATGATATTTTTTCGAAGTTCTTGACAGGTATTGTCATTCAAAGAAGCAAGTTTTAATTCTTGATATTTCGCTGTTGTGATTGGAATAAGACACATTACATCATTATCTTCTTCTAGTTGTGGGCTGGTTTCGTATAGATAGGCACGAGATAAAGTATCGGCAATGTGTAGGTCAGCGCCTTTCTTGTAAATAATATTTAGATCATAGCGTTGTAATTGAAGTAGCATCTTTTGTAAACGCATTGGTGTTGCTAAGGGACGTTTGAAAATAGTTTCTAGGGGTTTGTGGTCAGATTCCACGGTTACAGTTTTTCCAAATATATATTCATGAAACCTAGTACAAGCAAACACAATGGCTCATAGTTCTTTTTCTATTTGTGCGTATCCTTCTTGCGTTGGAGTTAAAGCACGTAAGGCATAAGCAATTGGTAATCCATCTTGTAAACACGCGGCACCCAGTCCTCTTTGAGAACTGTCACAAGTTAATGTTACTGGTGTTTTGACGTTGAAATATTGAAGAACGGGTGGGTTACTTATTACAGTTTTTAGTTTTTCAAATGCCTGTTGATGATTCATGTCCCAATTCCACATTGTTTCTTTTTGTAAAAATTGGCGTAATGGAGTAGCCAATTCACTAAGATGAGGAATGAATTTGGATAGGTAAGTGACCATTCCTAGAAAACGTTGAAGGGCTTTCACATTATCAGGTGTAGGCATTTCCGTGATCGATCGCACTTTTTCAGGATCAGCTTTCACTAGTCAATCGATGACCTATATAGCCAATGTTTGTCGATTTAAATTGAAACTTTTTTAATTTTAGTTTTAGATAAATTTCACGCGCTCTGTTAAGAACTTTTATTAACTTTTCATCATGATCTTTATCACAGGTTCCCCAGATAAGAATATCATCAATAATTATTTCACAAGGGTAACCACTGAATAGTTGATCCATTGTTTTTTGGAAAACTTCACTTGCACTATTTATGCCATAAGGAAGACGAAGAAAACGAAAAACGACCATAAGGGGTTATAAATGTTGTTTTGTACGATGCTTGTTCAGTTAAAGGAATCTGCCAATACGCATTAGATGCATCGATAAGAGTGAATTTTTTAGCATTAGGTATGCGTGCGATGATTTCGTCAATAGTTCTGAGTGGATAATGTTGACGTAGTATAGCTTTATTTAAATCCGATGGATCAATACACAGTCTTAAATCTGTTGAGTTTTTCTTCTTTACAGCAACTAAGTTTGATACCCACGGTGTATGTTGAGTGACTGGAACAATTACACCAATTTTGACCATTCTGTCTAATTCTGCTTTCACAGAGTCTTGTAGAGCCACTGGTATTCGACGAGGTGGGCGTATAACAGGTGTTACATTATCATCTAAATCAATGTCATAAGCTAAGGGTAGACAACCCAAATCACTGTTTAATAAATCATGATAATTGTGTAAAATATATGACTCAGTGATTCCACCATTTGTAGATGTTGTTGAGATATTAATAGTGTCAATGTGATTAACATGGATTAGACCTAATGATAAACAATCTTGTAAACCAAGCAAAGGTGTAACATTACTATTAACAACATGAAAAGATATATTATGTGATATTCCCTTAAGATAGCATGGTAATGTTATTTCACCAATAGTGTGGATAATGTTACCACTGTAAGATATTAATTTTGCTAGTTTATGGTTATTAACAGCATTAAAATGTGCCACTTGTTTAACTAGTGAAAAAGGTAGAACATTACATTTTGCACCAGTGTCCATCTTTAAGTGAATATCATAGTTATTAACATAAAGTTTAACAAATAATTCGGAAGGGTTGGATTGTGATAATCCAAATACATCAAAAGAGCTTATGTCAAAAACATAATTAGGGTCATAATCATTGAATTCAGTTTGCATGTAATCATTTTGTTGATATAGTTCACTGACAGATTGTCTCGGCATATGATTATCAAAACGATAAGAAACGCGTGATCGACAACATTTAGCAAAGTGGTTGTATTTCCCACAATGAGAACATGTTTTTTCAAATGCAGGACATTGTCTTGGAGGATGATTTGTTCCACAATTACCACACATTTTCTCCACATGATTGTCTATGGGTAATTTGAATGGTTGTCTTGATAAAGAACTAAAAGTTGGTTGTCTTGGATTTGGTGATCTTGGTAATCGCTGTGTAGGCCTATATGCTGGTTGATTATTCGTGTAATTTCCTGGTTGACGTGTGAATTTTCTTTGTTGAAATCGAACTGCATCAATCTCCGAATTTGCTAAATCAGGCTTAGAGTTAGTGTCTTTTTTGTTTAATTCAGAAAGACTCTTTTCTGCAGTTTCGTGAATTTGACATATGTTGATAGCTTTCTGTAATGTTAGTTCTGTTTCACGAAGTAAAATCTTTCTTACATGATCACTTCTAACGCCCCACACTATCCTGTCCTTAATTAGGTCATCGTTTAATTGTCCCCATTCACACACA